TGAGAAACCTATGAATCAACTTTCCTTCCAGCTTCCTCTCACTCCCATCTAACCAGTCACCAAAGTTCCATCAATTCTACCTCTTAGATAGCTGAGCCCACACCATGTCTCATGTGAGAACTCTAGTGGCCTCGGAACCTGCTTGACCCTGTTTCTAGTTTCATCCCCTCCAATTCATTCTCTATGTTGCTGGCAGCTTTATCTTTATAAAAGTACCGGTAATTTGTCATTTCTCTGTATTCCCTTCAATAGCTCCTGAATGCCTGAAAGACATTCTTACCATGGGATACACGACTCTTCATAATCCAGCCTCAGCTTTTCCAACTGCTCTCCTTATCTCTTTAGCATGAGACTCTGGCAATATTGTGCTTCTTGTTGTTCCTGAAGCACCCACTCTGTTTCATAACCCAGTGCTTTAGCCTAAGCTGTTCCCTATACCTTTAATATCTTTTCCTCTTTTGTCTGTCAAGTAAAATTCTATAATTTCCTAATTACTATGCCTGGAAATGTTAAGAGTTAATTACTTGTTCACGAGCAACGAGGCAGATAAATCATCAGAATGAAGATTGACTTATCAGATGGATATTCAGTCTGTAAAAGCTGGAACCAGTGATTGTTCCAGCTCTCAGGACCAAGGTGGAACCTAAGGAGAAACCCTACAGAAGCATAAGCCTGAAACTTTTCTCTCATTACTACCAAAATGCAAAGTACCGACAAAGCTGGACTTTTCTGAAGGAAACGTCGCCTTCATGACTTTGCTCCTAGGTTTGAAAAGAGTAGAAACCTCTCTTCTCACATACTAAGTGGGATGAAAAGGCTGGGACAGGCTGACTCCTGGTGGAAGGAATGAGCCATTGCATGCCCAGAATGATGGTATAAAACTCCCTTTTTACTCACTCATTTAGTCATTCAAAAGCAGTGAACACTTACTCTGTACTAAGGGGAACACCGAGGCCCTGAAGCACAGGGGACAATGTACTTTATCCCCATTCTTGAGAATTCACAACTTAGTGGGTGAGATAGTTGCCTCTTTAAGTGTTCCCTCAGCAGCACTGGGGAGAATGGGAGACCAGTTAGAAGGCCAATGCAGCAGTCCAAGGGAGAAATAATGTGATAGGGGTTTAATGACAATCACATATGTGTAGTGAGGGAGACAAAGAAGTCAGGGACTTCCACGTTCCTGGCTGGGCAAATGTCTAGTTATGTGTTGCAGTTCAAGTCAGGTAATGTAGGCGCAGGAGGAGGAAGTTTGTGTAAGAAGGCAAAATTAGCTTTAGATATGTTACATTTGAGGTGATTGGGGTACATCCAGGTAGAAATGTCACTAGGCTGTTGGATATACAGATCTGGAACTCAGGAAAGAAATACGGGGTAGAGATTTTGAGAGTTCTTCTCCAATAGGTGATTGTGGACTCCACCAGTGTAAATGGGATAGTCAAGAGAAAATATGTATATTCAAGGAGAAGACATTGGCCAAGATCTTGAGCAAACTGGGGTTCCCTCATCTACTTAACCATTTTCACTTTGCAAGCCATAGCTATGGCATCTGAGAAGTCTCTAACACTCCCTCATATAGTACTCAATCAGAGGATTCTCCTTTGCTTCCTGAGTATCCTATCATCACTTCAGTCATAGCATGTAGTGCATCATAATGCAGCTGCCAATATTCTCATCTATCTCTTCCCACTTTGAAAGAGGGGCTGTGTTTTGTGAGAAAGAATGAAGATGGTAGGCAGTAGTCATATTATGTAGTCTTATGACAATGCAAGGGAATTTGATGCAGGTACATTAAAAGATTAAAAAATTTTAATTTAAGTATAGTTGATTTACAATGTTGTGTTAGTTTCAGATGTAAAGCAAAATGATTAAGTTATACCTACATATATACATATATACATATTCTAGGCACATTTAAAGATTTAAGTAGAGGAGTGGCATGATCAGATTTGTGATTTTAAAAATATCACTCTGACTGTAGTGTGGACATTGGATTTAAAGCAGACAAATGGAAGTTGGGTGTCCATTGTAGAAGCGACCACATTACCACATTTAAAACAGGAAAGCCCCAATTCAGGTGAAGGATGACAGTGGCCTTAACTAGGGACATCTCCACAGGACCAGTGGTTGGAGTTCTCCAGTAAGGGAAGAATTTTTGGTTAATATTTTAGGCTATTAAAGTCCTGAGATCACTTTTTCGAGGGAGGAGACGACGGAGAGGGGATGCTGATACTGGGCTGGCCAGCAGAGCCTTGAGAAGTGGATAGTTTGAAAAACTTAGAAAGCAAGGATACAGAGCCTCAAGCAAATCAAAATGTTAAAAATGTAGGCCCTCCATAACCACCCACCTCGTAACTGTTCCATTCTGAACTGAACCAAAATAGTGGTATTTGGAGAGTAAACTGAGAAAACCAAGTACTGAGTCAAATCTTCCATTGCTGGCCCTGAAAACAGAAAACCAACATTTATAGTATTTGTGCATTTTAATATTTATTAGAACTGCCATTTACCCAGTGGTTGCTAACTGCCTATGTATTCGGGTTATTCTCTCGTTTAACTTTTACCTAAGTCTGACCGCTAGACATTTTTCTGTTTTACAAATGAGAACACGCAGCCTCAGAGAACTGATTTTGCCCAAAGTCACACAGAGGTGCAGGGTTCGAATCCAATTATTATTTAACTCAAATCTATACTTTTAACTGTCTTGCTACACCATCTCTTTAAACGTCCTATTTAGTTAAAATGTGGGCAGCATTCCTCTTTGCACAAAAATTGAATAAACTATCAACTGCGGGTGGAGTCAGAACAGAATTCACGAAAATGGCGGCTCCCTGCGGGGGTGCTGCTCCCTCACGTCATCACACTGCGCGGCAGCCTCTTGCGCACCACGTGCGAGGGGAGCAGGCGGGCAGACGGCGGGGTCTCGGCCGGGGGGCGGGCCCTGTTCATCTGTGCTGCAAGATGGCGCTGCCCTTTGCACGCTCGCTGTGCCTGTGCCGCTGGGGAGCCAAACGATTGGGAGTTGCCGCCGCGGAAGCCCGCAGAGGTAGGATTAGATCCTTTTACTCTCTTTTACTTTCAAAATAGTTTCCGTCTGTTATTCTGGCTGGAGCCCACTCGGAGAAACAACTCCAGCCCCTTCGACTCATTCTCCTTCCCCCATCGGCGTTGGTCTTAAGATTCTAAATCTAGGACACTCTCTGGTTTCTTTAAATACCAGGGCTTCCCCAGTCCGAGCTTTTCGGCTCCTTGGGCTGCGCATACTAAAGCGCTCCCACTTTCTCGCCGGCTTGACATTCTCACTTTCCCGTGTTTCCTTGTAATCTCATGACTGAATGTTTAACATCGGGGTATGTATTTTGTCCCTATTTCCGGAGTTTCAGCCCACGTCATTATCCCGTCTCTTTGCTTTGCCCGCAGGCATCAGTTTCAAACTGGAAGAAAAGACCGCCCACAGCAGCCTGGTACTCTTCAGAGGTGACACAGGTGTCAAATATGGCATGGTGGGATTGGAGCCCACAAAATTGGCCCTGAATGTGGAGCGATTCCGGGAGTGGGCAGTGGTGCTGGCAGACACCGCGGTCACCAGTGGCAGGCACTACTGGGAGGTGACAGTGAAGCGCTCCCAGCAATTCCGAATAGGAGTGGCAGATGTGGACATGTCCCGGGATAGCTGCATTGGTGTTGACGATCGTTCCTGGGTGTTCACCTATGCCCAGCGCAAGTGGCACACCATGTTCGCCAAAGAGAAAGCCCCTATTGAGGGCATTGGGCAGCCAGAGAAGGTGGGGCTGCTGCTGGAGTATGAGGCCCAGAAGCTGAGCCTGGTGGATGTGAGCCGGGTTGCTGTGGTCCACACACTACAGACAGATTTCCGGGGTCCAGTGGTGCCTGCCTTTGCCCTTTGGGATGGAGAGCTGCTGACCCACTCAGGGCTTGAGGTGCCTGAAGGCCTCTAGTATGTCCATTGCTGAAGTACCTAATCACGCTCTTGGCCAGTCTTCCGCTCTAAGTGTCAGAAACCTTTTAACTGTTCCCCAAGCAACCGCTAGCTCCCACAATTCAGTGTCGGGTCTTTCTGTGCAATATCTTAGTCATCTTCCACTCCCTTACCCTGTGAAAGCTAGGCATACAGCCACCCTCTCTCCTCCCCCACACTACTGCTAGTTTCCTAGGCTGTCATGAATGTACTTTCTCTGACTTGCTTCCTTCAGTCTCTCTGCCTCCCTGTACCCTGGTCTTTCACAGACTGTATTCAGTCCTGGGGGCTTAATTTCCAGCTATGTTTGAATTTATTCTTCACTGTGCTACCTCTCCCTCCTTTTGCCCACATGTAACTTGTTTGTTTTGGGGACTCTACCGAATCTCTCCAGAGTAAATCTTTTCTACCTCTGGCTGGAGGAGTGGTGCAGTGAATGATTTGGCCCTTTCTGTACAGCATTTACAGTCTGGGCTCTGGCTCCCTCAGGAAGTGCTTTGCTGACTTATCAGAGTAACAGCCGTCCTTCCCCAATACCTTAGTGTTACAGACTCAGTCCCATACAGCTGCAGCTCTCCTAAACCTGAGCTCATCTGCCTTAATCTGCACACCTCTGACACCTGGTCAATCTGTTGGAATCATTGGACCCAGTTATAGCCATGACCAAAGGGGAAGAGACATTTGGGGCTTATCGAGGGAATTGGTGTTAGAAACTTTATTCTTGAGAAGTTCCATCTTCATTTTTGCTACAGTTGTAACTTCTAGAGGGAGGAGGGAGGCCTGAGGTCTTACACAGTCCATTTTGAGACCTGCTCAGACCCATTTGCCTCCCCTGGCAGAATACACGTAACCTAAAGCAGTATTGGTAGCTGAGGAAAACCTAGTGGGGTGAGTGAGTATGTATGTGAAATATGTGTTGCTTGGGCTCTGTCTGACTCTGTGGTTCCATCTTATTCTCCCTTTATGATGGTGATGCAGCTAGATGCTGCTAGGGGAGAAAGAGAAGGACTGGGTCCAGTAAAAATAATTTGTGTAATTAAAGTTTATTTGAGCACAAAATACTTTTTCTGTCTATGAAATTGCTGTTAGCAGTAGCAGCAGCACGTCCTGGCCAAGGTGGGTGGCAGATCTTTCCAGACAACTGAAGCCCGGTACATAGCTCCCCACTTCCTCTGTGGATGTATGTGCGTGCTTGGTATCTAGAGCCCCTTCACCAGAGTCTCTCTCATAATGGTTTCTTCAAGGAGAGGAAGAGGGGACCTAGGTGAAGACCTGGGATGATTTTGAGTGGCTTAAGCCATCAGGCTGTCCCTTGAAGAAGCCCCCAATCTCCATGGATAGCTCTACTGCCGGTGTCCATCAAGGCACTTCTCTGTACTCTGTCTGCTAAAGGAATGGGGTATTTTGACTCTCACAGAAAGCAGTGGCCTAAGTCCTGGTCCACACTGAAACAGTGTGGCTCTCCATAGCATGTCCGGTGGTTACGTGTTAAAGTGTGTGGCCAGCTCGTGCTTTTTCTTACACAGGGGCTGTGCATGCCCCATGCTCACACCATGCTCTCTAAGTTCTCTTTGGACAGGACCTCGGCTGCTGCTTCAGCCTGAGTCTCAGATGGTGTGTATGAGTCCTGGTAATCTTGGAGCAGTTTCACCACCTCCAGGTGGTTGAACTGCACAGCATCATCCAGGGGGATGTTGCCCCACCTAAGAGGAGGAACAAAGACCATGATTAGTCAAAGAAGATATCGAGAGTGCCCTGGTTATATACATAACTGTGGTGGCTGGAGCGCAGTGATGGGGAAGCTGCTGCCCACCTCCCATCCCCGCCTTTTAGCTTAATCCTACTCACCTGTCCTTAACAAAAGGATTCACTTTGCAAGCCTCAATCAGGAATTTAACAACTTCAGTGTGTCCTAAGAATATGGGCAGAAGGAAAATGAGAGGGTATAGATCCTGATTCTTTCGGTGTTAACATCAGTGTAGACCCTTGGTGGCTGGAGTCTGAACTAAGAGGGGAGAGAGAAAGGCCTCCTCCCATTTTCGCTCTTGCGGCACCCATTAGTAGTCAGCCTACAACTGAAGGGTGTCTGGACAGAACTAGTTGCTGCCCTTGGAACCTTGAGGGCCCACGTGAGGTGGGGTACTCTTGGTAGAAAAGATGGGCTTTAAGATCTGCTTCCCCTCTTATTTAATCCTCACATACCTTCAGCTGCGGCAACATGCAGAGCTGTGCGGGAGTCATAGTCTTTCTGTTCCATGTCCATGGCTGACAAGGCAAACCTGGGGGAGGTGCAAAGTAGCTGGAGTTACCCCAGGCAGCCTAGAATCACTGGTATCCTTCCTGAAATGGGGTCAGACTGGATGGGTTCCAGCAAAAGTAAAACAGAACTTATGCTAACATCTGTAGACCCTGTACAATCTATGTTCTCTACCCAGATGAGACTGTTCTCCTGTATCAGAGGTGGGAGTGTGGTGGTTCCAGAAACATCACTGCCTACCTGTGGTAGGTGTCCGGGACGTACTTGTTGATGTTGGTGATCCATTTGAGGCAGGTAGTCCTACCTCCCTTCTAGGACTCTGCTTTCAACACCCAGGTTAATCATAACAATGGTTACCATTAATAAAGCTCTTAACACATGGCAGTGATTGTACTTAAAAAAAAAAGCACCTCATTTAAATGCCATCTCTGTCAACTCTGACTCTAAAGCTGAAACACTTAACGATTTTGCTTTGTTGACTGCTAATGAGATCTCTGACCAGGAGTATTTTATTGGGTCTATTTGGTCACAGTAGAAGTACCTTCGAAGAGCTGAGACATCTCCACTAGAGGCAGCAAATAACAGGTTCACCACAGTCTTGTTCTGGAAAACACATCGTACCTACCTGAGGTTAACTGTGACTTTTAATCCACCCATGCCCAGCTCTGCCCCGTCACCCTCCTCCACGGATGCTTAGCCAAGGGTTTTCCTGAAGTGTTACTGCATGTTCTACCCTGAAATAGTCTTGCAGGCCACCTGGGGTTTTCCTTACCCGAACTTCTCCCCCTTCACGCCGTGGGTCTAACTTCCGAGCACAGTGCCTCAGGTTGTCATAGTTGTGGAAGTTGAAGAGAGACACCAACTTCTAGAATTATAAGCCATAGAGATTGTTTACTTCCTCCTTGCTCCCAGGAGGAACTCAAAATTGATTTACTCATTCAAAAATGTTAAATACTGTATGCAAAGTGACTCACCTGGCAGAAGCTGACGCCCCTATAGCTGTTCCCCAGCTTGTCCAGTGGAGGTGACAGACACATCATTCCCATGACATTGGGCACCACCAGGAGGATGGCTCCTGACACCGCTGACTTGGCTGGCAGACCCACCTTGGGGACAGAGGTGACACAGGATGAGCTAGAGGTGCCCCACATCCAGGTTAACAAGGCAGTCTGTCCCAAATAACTGTGGGCAAGGCCACACCCTTCTCAACCTCTGGGTTTGTTAATTAGTTTTTCTTACTCCTATCCTTCCCTGCCCCCTCTTGAATTTATAACTCAGTAAGGAAGTATGTATTATCTACTATGTGCCTGCCGCTGTGCAAGCCCTAGGACAGGGCCTCTCAGTTAACTTACGTTCTGCTGGTAGGAGATAGACAATCAACAGGGAAACAAACAGGAATAATCACAACTGATAATAACACATTAGAAAAAAAGCAAGGTGCTGTGACTGAGAATGATGTGGGAGGGGGAGAGAGGAAGACCAAAAAGACCTCGCTTTGGCAGTGACGTCCTGGATGAGACCTGGAGGAGAATCGTCAGCCCTGTGAAGGGCACAGAGGAGTGGTTCTGAAGCTGCACTGTCATGTGTTTACGTGTTTGGGGGACTTGGTGTGTTTGACAAACTCCCCTAAGGATTCTCGGCCTAATTGCCTGGCTGGAGGTTAGTGCATGAGAGGCAGGAACAAGCTTCCACCTCTCCCACTTCAGAGACAGTGTCCTCTCTTGGCTCTGGGCTCTGGGCTTGTTGCAAACGGATGGCAGGGCCAGAAGCACTCACGTGGAAGGCAAACTGGCCCGAGAAGTCGTACATGCCGCAGGAGTGCATGAGGCTGAGAGTGTTGCGCACTGCTTCAGCGCTCAGCACGCTCTCGCCTGTGATGGGGCAGATCCCGCCGTTGGCCAGGGTGGCTGCCATGACACTGCCTGATTCACAGGTCACCTCCACGGAGCACAGCTGCGGAGATGAGGCGCAGGTGAGGGTGTGGTGTGGGCCTGAACGCTGTGCTCTTGGGGGCAGAGCAATGTTCTTGGCACCCTAATCCTTCGACAAGTTCCCCTGGTGTTTCTGAAGGACACCAGACCACGGGAGACAAGCATCCCTCTCGTGGGTCGGAGCAAGAGGGCAGTCTGTCCTGTTCCCTTGACCCTGGGCTAAACAGCAGCGCTTGCTTACCTGGAAGTAGAGATCGAGGGCAGCCATCATGTCCACCCCTTTAGGAAAGCACTGCAAGGAAGAAGAGGGGAGAGCGTTTCTCTCCAGGCCATCAGCAGTCCCTGTCACAGTGTCAGGATTTCAGCCAAAGTCCCCAAACCCAAGTGCCCTTCCACCAGCCGCAGAATCTCCAGGGTACTTTCTCTACCGGCCTCTCCCAGTTACCTTCTTTTCCTTCAGATAATAGCCGATGGCATAATTCCGATCCCCTGTTTCCTTCTCTGACTGGAATCTGAAGCAAACACCCGGTTTAGTAATTGACATTTGAGAGGTGAGTGTGAGGAGAAGGGGGGAAATACCTTCCCTGAGAGGGACTAGATCACACATGTCAAACTAAATCAGCCCCTTTATAAATTGTCACGGTGATGCCGGAGGAGACTTCTGAACCCGAGCAAGCACTGGGCCCAGCTTTATTGTAAAGTGTGAAAAACAAAACCAAACCCAAAATAGTCTAGTTACCTAGTCTAGGAAAACGTGAGGTTTTTGGCTTTGAGAGGCTTGGTTAAGAAAGGGCCCAGTGCAAACTCTCACACCATCTCTCTCATTAAGTACTAAATAGAAATGGAACAAATTCTTTTTACAAAGTAGACAAATGTCAATGAAGGGACTCAGAGGAAGCTGGGAGGCCAAAATTCCCCTGGGAATTTTTCCTCCTAAGACTTCCTCTATCCTCCACCTCCTCCATTCTCCACATACACACACACACGCCCCAAGGTGCATTCAGCCGATCCTGTGAACAGGGCCTTACGTGGCATTGCTGAAACCCATGTATTCATTCCCAGCCATTTTGTTCAGATATTGCAAAACCTAGAAGAGAAAAAGGGGCATGGGAGGCACCTCGTGCGTGAGGACCCCTGCTAAACACATACAGGCTGACTAACCCTTCTGAACTCCTCAGTCCTGATCCCAGCAAGGACTTCAGGAGGCTTTCCTCTCTGAGGCCAGCAGGCTCCCACACCTCTAGAAATAAGGCTTCTGGTGTGGGCTGGTGCACCATCAAAGTGGGGTTAGAGCCAGGCACTGGGGCAGCTGGAGTGGATAACATGCCATGGAGAAAGACAGCAGGGGCTGAGCAGCAAGCAGCAAGGCTGACTTACAAAATCAAACTTCTCTGCTTTGTTACAGTCCATCTGCAGAGACAGAGAAAGAGATACCAGTATTCTAGGCCTAGGAGGTGGCAGAGTCGGTTAGGAGGAACTTGCGGAGTTAAAGTGTTTGGGCATGTGTTGCATTTTACAATGATTTTTTTTCACAGCTGAGACTTTTTTTTTTAAATATCTTTGCATACCTAGTGATCTTCAAAACTAAACCACTTAGATTTTATTATCAATTAATGAGTACAGATAAGCTCATCCCATCTGTGAGTCTCACCCACCCCTGAGTCTCACTCCTATTCCCATCCTCAATGCCAGTCCTCATCCCTGACTTCCACTTTCACTTGCCTGATTCCAGTCCTGTCCCCAAGCCCCACCCGTATCCCTGACTCCCATCCCCGATTCCTTACACCCCAGGCTGGAGCCTTACTCTGTCCTAGCCCTGATTCCCATAGCTGTCTCCAAGACTAGCATGAGTGATGGGAATGAGAGGAGGGTATGTGTTGCATACAGTATACTGTGCAATTATACTGACCACTGAAATAAAGCTAAAGATTTTAGCTGAGAGTCAAGTCAGTAGGGCCTGTTTCGATGGGAATGGGATGAGGCAGGTCCCAGATACAGGGCTGTAGATAGAGCTGTCCCAGAGCCAGAGGGGAGCCTGAGCCTGGTCTTCCCTACTCCCCAATTGCTTCCGGTACATGTCAACTATAGTGTCGACACCACAGGGACTCTGACACCTGAGTCCCTTGTGGGGAGGGTTCCTAACACCACCATCCCCAGGAGGGGCTGTGATTGGCTCTGGGGTGTTGCTGCCCACACTGCTCTCAGGTTCTTGCTCAAGCCCTGGGAGACCTACAGCTGACAGGCTGGCCTGACTTCCTTGCTCAAGGCCAGCTCACAGTTCCAGGTGACGTGAATAGTTACCCTGTCTGGCCATTCACCCTTCTTTCCATGTGTTCCACACCCAGAAGTGGCCAATCGGTACCTAATAAAGCTGTCCTCCCCCTGTGTCTGGCATTTGGCCCTTGGTCCCAGGCAGAGGTCAGGACCTGCTCGCTTCCCTAAAGGCCAGGAAGTTCTGGGCTCCAGACTCATGGGAGGGAGCAGGGGTACAGTTCCTTTTACTAAAAACCTCAGCATAATTTGGGTCCCTGCTGTGCCCTCACTACCTCCTGGGCACCCTCAGAACAATCTGCCGAGAGAGATGGGCAGACATGAGGGATATAGCAAAGAGGGGGTTCAGAGAACAGTACCTTCTGGAAGCACTGACCTTGATCAGGGAGCTCACAACAATGGCACCAGCATTGACCATGGGGTTATGGGGGATCCCTGGGGAAATACAAACCCCCCAGAGTCTTATCAGCCACTGAGCAAAACCTCCTTTACAGCCTGCCCACTCTGCAAGGTAGACGGGAAAGATTTCTTTGCTGGGGAGGATGGAATGACAGAGCTGATGGGGAGGGCAGAGAAACAAACACACGAAAAAGGCTGGGGGGCGGGGTGGGGTAAGAAGAGGGCATCTGTCCGTGAGTCTGGTCTGGGCTCTGGGAGCACTCACCTTCCTCGTTGAGGGAGAGCTTGTTGTAGCGCAGGCCGCTGGGCTCCTTGCCCACAAACTTGTGCACGTAGTCTGTGCCCAGGGTGCTTACGGAGATGGCATAGGTGAGAGGCTTCACACAGGACTGCAGGCAGAAGGGGATCTTTGTGTGGCCCACGGAGTGCCTAGAGGCAGACAGGTGCCATGGAAGGGGTCAGACTGTGCTCTGCACCTGGGCCCTGCCTCCCCTTCCTCACCCAGCATCTCACCGCTGACCATCCACAGTGCACAGAGAGACGCCCCACAGGTCTGGATTTGACTTGGCCAGCTGAGGGATGTAGGCTGCCACCTGGGTACAAGTAGGGAGAGAAATAGACAGAATGGAGATATGGATGTGGAGAGAGGGAACAGTGCTGAGGATCAGGCTCAGGAGAATCTTTTAGATAAAAACTAATATTCTGTCTTCTGCAGGACAGCAGAGTTCCCTCCTTCCTGTTGTTCCTACAGACACCCAAGCCTTAAGTCCTAGAAGGCCTTATCTTCTGTAACCCCACTCCTACAGAGATGGCAGTAAAGCCTATGAAAGGTACAAAGAGAATTCTGAAGTCAGCTTCCCTTTTCTGTTCTGAGGCTCAATTACCCCACGGGTCTCAAAGTTCTACTGAATCCTTGTATCAATTGTCTCAATAAAAACTTCAGATTCCCTCACCTGCTCTAGACATCACACGTAAAATACATAAAGCCCTCGTCCCCATTGTTGGAAGTTCTGCTTCTCATCTCACATCCATTGGATTCCCAGCCCCAGGAGATCTCCGAGAAGCAAGGTGTATCTGGCCCAGAGCCCTTGCCCCTCCCTCAGTCCCCTGGCCCTCACTTTGCCTCCAGTGAGCTCTTTGGCATCTTCAAAGATGCGGTCCACATGGCTCGTGAACTCCTCAAAATCAGGAATGACAAACTTCTTTCGGAATGCCTGGGTCAGGAGCACAATGTTGCTGCTCACACACCTGGATCCCAGACACGATTGGGTTAGGGGGCTGGAGAGATGCAGCTGTGACTCACTCTGGAGCCATGGAAGTTGGGAATAAAGAAGGTGTGAGTGGTCATCAGATTTGGGACCACCAGCTGTGTGACCTCTGGCCCATCACTTGATCTTTCTGGGTCTTAAGTTTCTTTGTCTCTAAAATGAGGGGTTGTAGTGACATGGAAAGATATCCCAAGACACAGTGTCTTGGAAAAGGACAAAAAAATAATACCTGAATAATATGTACAGTAGGTCATTTTTATATTTAAAAAATCCTAAATTATACAAGTATACTTACATCTATTCCTATGTGTATGTAAATGCATAGGACATTCTCTTGAAGATACCCACTAATCTATTAACAATGTTTACTTCTGGGAAAGGGGGCTGGGACTGGGGAGAGAGGGAAAGGAGGACATGTATTTCTCTACTATTTAAACTTTTATATGGAGTATATGCATATTCATGTATTATTTGTGTAATAAATAAGTAATAAAATGAAATAAGGGGTTAAATTATCCAATCCCCAGGATCCCTCCCTGCTGTTAGAGTCTTAAGTCTGCAGAACAGTTTTGAGAGTGGTGCCTTTGTTTCTGGGGCCCTCACTTTCGGAAGAGATCTCGGTCCAAGAGGCCACCACTGCTGGACTCTCGAACCATGTGGCGCATCTGGTTCATGCAGTCCCGGAGCCGGGGATCCGACGTCTGCAGTCCAGTGGCCTTCAGTGCCTTCAGGGGAAAGAATCTTGGTAAGGTCAGCTACAAGGACAAGAATCTAATCCCAGTCATCTTTCCCAACTACTACAACAGGTGGAACAATGGGTTTGCAGACTAAGAAAGGAGGGAATGTAACAGCTCTGAAGGCCAATAGGAGTTTCCTGCCCTTTTTCATCAAGACAGCTAGTTTCTGAACCCCCTGGGTCAAAGTTGCAAACCAAGAAGGAGGGTTGAGTCACAGGGTTGAGCCATCCCACGTGGGGTGGGGATGGGCTTGCCTCATCAGCCTAGGCATGTGTTATCATTTGCTGTTCTTCATGAAGCAACCCGTTAGCTGCCCTGCTCTGGCCTAGCTTCCCTTTCCCAGTCTCCAGAGATCCTAAGGGATTAGTGTTCTGAGCAAGTAGAGAGGAACTCACAGTGGTGAACTTGTGGATAGGGATTCGTTCCTGTCCCTCAGCAATAGTGTAGAAGAGCAGATCACCCAGGCGGGACAGCATACCACTCTCTGAAGAATCACTGTTTGGGGGCAGAAACAGGGAAGGAGGAAAGGAACCTGAGAACTGAGAACTAGTCCTCTTCCTTGAACATGGGCTTATCAGTAGGTAGGTGTCCTCAGTCTACGCCTCCTCCCTGAACCATCTGATCTATCCCTGTAATTCCAACCTTCACATCTGTCCTGAGAAGTCTTCAATCTTACTCTCTAGCTTTCTTTTGTTCCTAAACTTCAGGCATTTATTTCTACTTGCCTTCTAGATGCTTCCATCTCTAGATGTCCCATAGGCACTGCAAACTCAACATGTCCAAGCCTGAGGTCATCTTACCTCCTTCTGTCTGCTCCTTCTCTTGTGTTTCCCATTTAATAGCATTACCACTCACCCAGGGGCCAAGCTGGAAACGTGGAATCATTTGGATAATTCCCATACCTTATACGTATAACCAACATCAGATAAATCTATCTCCATGATGTCTCTCAAATCCACCTCTTTCCTTTCTTCCCCTGTGCCAACATGGTGTAATAGAAAGAACCAGTTTGCCCCTTAATAGATGTGTGATCTTAATATGTCAGGTTATTTAATAGTGCTGAAGTATCTGTAAAATAAGGGTAGTAAAGTCCGCTTCACATGGGTGATATGAGGCTTAATTTAAATGACATTTTATGAAAAACTTTCACAAAGTAGGTGCTCAGTAAATCATGCTTCTTTACCATTAGCTCCTTTTCATCTGTTACCTAACTGCTATTACAGTATCTTGACTTGCAACCCATATTCTACAATGTGCCAGTTATCTTTCTAAAACCCAAGTATCATCTCTCTACTCAGAAACCTTTGCTAGTTCCCCAGTGCCTTCAAAATAAGTCCTTATTTCTTGGTATAGCATTTAAGGATCCTTAAAACCTGCCAACATTCCTTTCCTATTCTCCACCATGCCTCCATACTCTAGTTATGCCAGGTAGAAGTTGGCTCCCCAAATGGGCCAGGCATTGCCAGGCTTCCTGGCTTTTGCTTATGCTGAAGCTTCTGCATGGAAAGACCTTTTTCTCCTTCACCTGCACAGTCCTGCTCATCCTTCAAGATCCCAGATCAAATGTTACTAATTCCGTAAAGGCTTTCCCAAACCTCCAGATTTTGCTTATGCTGCTGGTATGACACAACATACTGTCTTGTTGACAGAAGACAGTCTCCTCTGCTTCACTGTTATGTCTTTGTGTTTCATGTATCTTTGTCTTCCTAGCATTAAGCAAAGTCCCTCGCACATAGTGGATCTTCTATAAAGGATTACCAAGTTGCCTTTCTACAAGGTTCCTATTCCCCAGAGTATCTCTTATTGGCTTTTAGCACCTAAAAAACCACATACTAAGGACTTCTTGGTCTTCAAGAGTTCTCCTATTAATATGTTAACAGATTTAGAGGAATTACTTTATCAAATCCTTCCAAGTATGACAACTATTTGAGATTAAGACCCTTCAAAATCCTTAGTCCCAACAATTTGACTTCCAGATAGTTATCATATAAGTGTGTTCACATACCTACAAGGTAACATTCAGTTATTCACTGCACTGTTAGTAGTAGTAACACTGGAAGCAACCTAAATGTGCATCAACAGGGAACTAGTTAGGTAAATTAGGGTATATTCGTATAATGGAATATTATGCAATGTTAAAAAAAAAGAAATGAGAGCATGCTTTAAAGATCAACAGGGAATGATCTTGAAGATGTGGTATTAGCTAAAAGAAGCAAGCTGTGGGACAGTGTTTATAGTATGGTAATTTTTATGCTTAAAAGGGAAAAATATGTTTGCTTTCTCAGGTAAAAAATATTTCTGGAAGAATGTATAAGAGACAGATAAGACTGATTTGTTTCCCTCTAGGGACAGGAAGCAGGTGCTGGGCAAGAGGAGTGGGAGGGATACTTCTCACTATATATATTTTTATATACTTTGGTCAATTTTTGGTGGGGGATAATTAGGCTTATTTTTTTTTTAAAGAGGAGTTATCGGGGATTGAACCCAGAACCTCATGCATGCTAAGCATGTGCTCTACCACTTGAGCTATACCCTCCCCTCTTGCATACTTTGAATGTTAAACCATGTATATTTTATCTACTGAATGTGATATATAGACTATGAGTATATTATCTATTGAAACAATGCATTAAAAAATAAAAAGTCTCTAAAGAAGCTTGGCATAGACTAGACATCTGTATGTTTTGGGCCAGGAGGAATACCAGGAAAGGGGGGCGTTTTCCTTTTCTGAAGAAATCCAGTTGTCACAATGAGGCTAGTGCTTTAGAGAAAAGGATCCATGTCATGACAGAAGGGAGGAAAAAGCTATCTGAGGAATAACTCAAGAAGAAAAGTACGTAGGAACACTTTGAGGGCAGGTCTCTGCGCCTGGAAGATGAAGGAAGACAGGAAATAATGCCTCGCCACTGAATGTACTGCAAGCCTTAAAAAAAACTGCATGCCCTTTGATCCAGATATGGATTGATCTGCAATATAATGTTGGGGGGTGGGAAACAAGCTGCAGAACAATGTATAAAGTATGATAATATTTGTATAAAAAAGGGATGTAATAGCAACATGTATTTGCTGATATATGCAAAAATATCTCTAGAAGGTATCAACATATCAATGAAAGATTTCTTGGGGAGCAAAACTTTCTAGAAATTTACTCTAAGAAATAATTGAACAAGTGCATAAGAATATATAGTAACCTAATTGAAGACTGGCTAAATAAATTGATACTTCATACAATGGAATCTTAAAATGGCAAAATGGCAGCCATTAGGATGACACCATCATGCATGCACACATTCAATGATATTAAAAGCTGTTCACAAATGGAAAAGATAGGCTTCAAAAAAAACAGAATACTATGATCTTATTTTTGTTAAATTTTATATACATATATAGGATATATATAAATATAAATCATAATATTAACTGGTTACCTCTAATAGTGGGATTTTTATATTCTTGATACTTTATTTACCTTGTTTTTCATTATCAGAAACAGAATAAAACTAAATATTAAAAAAACAATAACCCAAATAATGGAGCATTTTCTCCTGACTGCCCTCTTTCTCCACCAAGAACACCTCCCCCTCATGATGTCACACTCCGAGAGCCCATCCCCCTCCAGTGCTCTCAATTCCTTCTGCCCAAGGGAGTATCAGTCCAAGGTCTTTACCAAGAAGTCCCTGGGAGCACAGGCACAATAGGCAGGAGGATCAAGGTCCCTGAAAACACTTCCATCACCTGACTCCACTTGATAAGGAAGTGTGTGTGTGGAGGAACCAGGGACATCTCTTGCTCCCCATCCCACAGAATGTGTAGGGGTGAGGGAGGTTAAACCTTTGCTCTATTCTGCCATTTCTCTCAAGGTGATTATTTGGGAAAAGTTGGAGTGGAGAGCAGAACAGGAGAGAGGCCTTTTTTTTTTTTTGAGTTTAAATGTCTGTGTCTCCTTGGGAAGAGGCTGATGGAAAGGTGCAGCATAATAACAATTATTATTAATTATAAATAAATAATACCTTATTGATCTGTTACCTGTCAGGAAAAGGACTCCAGTGGTGGTAAGGTAGTGCTGTGTCTGTCTGGCTACCTTAATTATGTCTTTCTGAATGTCATCAACAGATACCAATGACAGAGGAGGTGACCCATTTCCTGTTCCTACTATATTAGAGCAGGGGCTACTTTGACGGTGTCTATGTCGGCTTCTGGGGAGGACAAAATTTCCTGCTCAGCTCTGTCTGCACCTCGAAGAGACCAAGTATTCCTGGGTGGTAGGGGAGAGGGGTGCAGCCTCTTGGGCAGAGTAAGAACCCCAGGGAAGCCAACCCTTTAAATCAGGGAGCCTGAGCAGCACTATAAGGGCTCTGACTGGCTCTGGTCTGGGAGATCAGAGTCTTGTGATTTTCCCCCCTATTATAAAGATTTTCCTCATTCATCAACCAGTCGGATCACCACCCTTATTCTACAGATTAGGGAGCCCTGATAATGCATACACCCCAAGTCATTCGCAAACGACACAGGCATGTACCTGCGCACCAATAATGCATCACACATTACACGCCGAAATAGATAGACCCAAGTACACTAGGACTAGGCAGGATGTTCCATACCCACGCATCTTCTAAAATACATACGAGGACCAGAGAGGAGAGGAGGGTGAGGATGCGCGGTGCACACACCGCCCTGCACTCAGACACGTGCACCGAGCAACACTCCGCGCCCACCTGCGTTCCCAGTTAAGTACGCACCTCGGACAGGCACCATCCCGAACACCGACCTGTCCAAACGCCTTCCCGGGCGGACGGCACGTTACCGCTCGAGCACGGCAGACCCAAAGCCCCAAATCTAAAGGAAAGGGCATTGCAGGCCAGTACGCGAGGAGAGGAGAAGGGAGCTGAGGCGCTCCTGGGAGTAGGGGACTCGGAAGCTGGTGAGAACGACAGTGGGGGTGGGAGCGAGCCTGTCCCCTGCCCCAGTCCCGCGAGCCTTACTGATCCAGGAGCTGCAGCTGGTGGCTGTGCGGCGTCTCCCGGCCCTGCGCAGCGGCCTCACTGAGTTGGTGCCGGACGCCCCCGCCAAGGAGGGGGCTCCGGCTCAGGTGACCCCAGCCTCCCCGCCGGCAGTGACTGCCGGCCCCGCTCAGCGCTTTCTGCAGAACCTTCATGGAGCGCATCCCCCCAGGGTGCCGTCCGCTCGGCCAGAGCGCCCAAGGCGTCTGAGCGGTGGCTGGAGGGAGGGGCGGAGGCAAGGTTGGGGGAGCTCCATGGGAAACTGCGGGGCCTGGGAAGTAGAGAGGAGGGGCCCAGTGGGTGGGGTTGGAGCTGGAGGACGGGCCAGTCCCTGTGACGCTCGGGCCCCACCAGGTGCACCCAATCGCCCCTAGACAGGAGAACCGTGAAGAGCGAACTCGATAGAAGAGAAAGCCGAGAGGCGGGGGGCTCGTGGAAGACAAGTGGGCGGTGCCTGAGGGTTGGGATGGACAACGCTCAGGTCCAATTATTGAGGAAGCATAAACTTTGGGGCGGAGAAAAGACGAAGCTATCCAATGAGAGCAAGGCGGTGGGCCGTCCGCCAGAGCCTGCGGATTCCTCCGCGCCCCGGGCCGCTGCGGCGGGCGGTGCGTGCAGGCGCAGAGGGCGGGAAAGCTGAGGTGGGCGGTTGCGAAGCCGGCTGAGCTCCGAAGGAGGCGGCGGGTTGGAGCGATGGAATTCCCGGAGAGAGAAGAGAGCGGTACCGCTCTACACTCAAATAAGAATGAGCCCTGTTCAAGAGGCCACTTAGTGACCTTCGACATTCGAAGGCCAGGCCCGACCTCAGTAACCCGCCTCATAGTGCGGCGTTGAGGCCAAAGGAACACCTAGTCTCCAGCACGGGGTGTTGGTGAGTGAGGAGTCAGCTGGCCGGAGATTACCCCGACCAGAAACAGCCCCTGGACACTTCAGTGAGATCACGAGGCGACGGAAAAAGGTCACCCAGGGTTGCTGGGGTGCTGGGTTCTCGTTTTAGCTCCACCAATTATTTGGTGGCTGTTCAGGACTTAAGTGTTCTTAACTCTGAGCTCTTAAACATTTTAAAAGCCGTTAGGTGCTCCCAGAATATTAAATGTTTTAATTGCTTGTCTCTTCCTTATGAGCAGAAAAGATGTACAAAAAGAATTTTGAAAACTAGGCAGATTCAGGAATTTTATCATTTTCAACGAGAACATTCTCCTGTATCTTCGCAGCGCCTAACACAGCGTCTGTATTTGTTAGGAGCACATGTAAATAATAGCTATTATCTAGGACTTAAGGTGTGCCAACCATTTTAGTCTAGCTTCCTCTTACCAGAGACCTAGAGAATAGTTATTATTAGTCCCATTTTGAAGATGAGGAAACTAAGACTCAGAAATGAAGACTTCTTTAAGATAATCCAGCTAATAAGTACCAGAGCTAGGACCCAAGTCTCACTATAAGGCTGTCTCCATCATGAAGCACTTCCCAAAACCAGCCATTGAATTATCCCAGGAAATGACCTCGTTCTAAAGAAAACATGTATCTGGAAGCAGTATGATACAGAGAGTTGTCTAGGGGCTGGCTGTGTCACAAAAGGCCACTTGCTTTTCTTTTTCTTTTTGGATTGAAATGAGTATCGGGGATAACCGTGGGAAAAAAATATCAAAACCATATTCTGGTTTGTTCTGTGGAGAGGCAGTTCTCATTTGGCTTGGTTAGGGTTGGAGGGTTTATTTGGTTTGAAACCAGTGGAGTGACCTTTCTTTTCTTTTTGTTTGTTTTCCCCTTCTGTAGCCTTTCCTTATCTGCCCTAGTTCTCGAATTGGTGGGACTCTAATTCAGGGACTCCGGTTTGCCCTGGGCTGCCTCATTAACCAGAACCTTAAGAAAGTTCTGGGTCTTAGTATAAACTCCAGCCAGCATTAGTTCTTCCAAATGTAACAGGCTATTCTTATCTGGTTTCTTAAGAATGTTATTTCTCTGAAGCTTTTTGAGCTGTCAAGAGAAAGATGACATATGTTAGGGAATTTCTAAATATTACTCAGAAGGTATTTCCTAACCCCTGCTGTTTTGAATTAGCTTTAATTATAATCAGTAATGAGTTCCTCACTCTATTTCTCCCCAGTTCTCTCTGATAGTAGAAAATGATTGCATGGTGAAGAAAATCTACCTGTAGAAGAGGAGATTCTTTGCATAGAGAACTACCACCAGCTGGACTTTGACCTTTAGGCTAATTCTTCTTCCACTAAATACGGCTGCCTTTGCATGAGGTTGGAGCAAGAACAGGTGACTTGGGAGGCCCACAGCATTGTGTAAAGTATAAGATATTCAAGAAGAACAAGTTTGTCATCCTAGGTGGTTAAGTCTTGGTAATGTCAAGTCCTTTTTTGTTGTTGTTTCTGATTTGAAAAGGACCCAATCTAATTAAATCTGTGCTAAAGTACTAGCCAAATGTGACATGGGCAGCTAGACATGAGACTTTTCATAAGTGAAGGAAAACTCAGATATCTCTAATTGTAAGTTTTTAGGTCAGTCCCTGTTTGTGCTAGAGTTTTGTGCTGTATGGGCGAGGATTGATCTGAATGATTTTGAATCCTTAAATCAGAAGAGCTGTGTCCTCTGTGGTACAAAACTGGAAACTCAATGCTTATGTTTGGAGGATGTTTATTTGTTGTGATTTAGATACTCATTTGTTCTACTCTTTATTTTTTAATGTATTATCTTAACCATTTAAAAAATTTTACTTATTACTGTTTTATCTAATTATTTTACTTTGGGGGGGAGGTAATCAGGTTTGTTTATTTTTAGAGGAGGTACTGGGGATTGAGCCCAGGACCTCGTGCATGCTAAGGGTGTGCTCTGCCACTTGAGCTGTATACCCTTCCCCCTGTTCTACTCTTTAGACTGTAGCTAGAATCTTAATTAGCTTAAGTGAAAGATTAGTTCACAGTTTTTTCATTAGTCTTTGTTCTGCTAATGTTATTATTGGTGTGCACTCCTTCCTACCTTAGTTTCTTCATTTGTGAATGATAATCTTGTCTTCTACTGGGTGAAATATAAGTATTTGGAGCTCTGACATACCCATATCATTCAATGAATATTTATTCATTGGCCTAAATTGCACCAGGCCCAGTGCTAGGAAATCCAGAAATTAGAAACAAATTAAAAAAACAAACAAACCCAGTTTCTGATTATTGAAAGAAAAGGGAAAGCCGGTGTTTAAAATTTCTAATGAAAAATGCTGAGATGAAGAGATGTGCAGAAGGAAGTATAAAGAAGGGCACCTAACTAGGCTCAGGGTGAAGAGTAGCTGAAATAAAGAACAGGGACCTCAAGGGATGCTGGGCAGTTGGAGCCAACTCTTAAAGGATGAGAGATGTTCCCAGGGAAGTGAGGAGAAAGGTGTTCCAGGCAGAGGGCTCTGCCAGAACAAACAGCATGAAGAGGAACATTTCAGGGATGCTGGATGAACTTGGTTGGAGTGAAAATTTGGTCGGATGTGAGAATGCGTGGACCAGTGAAGCTGAGGATGTATGTGGGGGCTGCATTATGAAGAGTTCTGAATACTATGATAAGAGTATTCAGCCACAGCCTAAAGGAAACTCCATAGTAAACCTTCTTTCAAAGCTTCTCTATTTCACTTAAACTCACCACCGCACTGCTTCACAAAAAGCCCCCGATTTCCTGCCGGTTACTCTTATAACCCACGTCAGTCCCTCCAGATGCTGTTGAAGAGGAATCCTTCCTCCACTCTCAGGTTAATCTCTCTACTTACTTTGCTCTATTTTTCAACTTCTTCCTCTTTAAAGACTCCATCATTCAGCATTTAAATAATGCTCAAATCTCTGCCATCTTGAGAAACAGCACCTATATTTTGACTCTGTATGTGTGATTAAAGTATATTTCAGTTAAACAGCTTTATGCAATTCAGATACTCCATCAGTATTGCTCTTTTTTCTCCTTTTTAAAAAATTTGAGATGTAATTGATGTATTTTTTGCTCGCATCTGTATTCCTTCCACCACTGAGTTTTTTGAAAAAGTCATTACACTTACCACTCCGTTGTCCTCACTTCATATTTCCTGATAGTGATGAAACTAATCTTATGTTGCCTTAGTGTTGCTTTGGGCTTATGGGCTTCTGAGGGATTTTTTGGAGTTGAAAGTTTAAATAATATCAATCAAGGCCACCAAATAGATTAATATGTTTAAAAACTGCTAAGACATCATTACTAATGAGTTTGAATGAATTTGAATAGGATTTAGATTCTAGCTAGAGCACTACGGTGCTGGTGCACATATTTTAACTTGATGTTAGACCTTTATGGAATAAATGAAATTTCATATAAATTCACATGTTTCTATAATCTATTCCAATATGTTTTCCTAATTCCTCTTTGGTTTAGCAATTACAAAACCAAATTTTATAGGACTGAAAAAATATAATCATAAGCATGTAAAAAAAATCACAATATATCAATACACTGGGCAGATTTATGAAGCCTAATGTACATTTTCTCTATTTTGCCAAATAATGTCTCCTGTAATCTGGTTTCTGATGGCCTTAAGAATAGATTGTAGCAAGTCTGAATCATTGTAAGATGCTAAGAGAATGTAGATTTTGCTTGAGTCCCTAAAAAAGATTTTTAAAAGCTTATTGTAGACTAAACCTAATTTGAAAGAATTTGAAACAGCAGAAAGAAAAAACCTTCAGAATGTGGTTGATAGCATATTAATACTCATTTTCTTTTAACCTGAAGAATATGAAAGATATAGTGAACAAAGCCATTTTCTAAAAGACTAGGTAACATTAATTTTTAACCACACTTATCTATTTGAACACTCCATAAGTCATAATTTCTCAAGATCTTATGTAATTTGAAATTTTTTACATCATCCACCTTTGCCTGTCAATTTGTTAAAAGCTACAGCTCTCTGATCTTTGAGAAATTTTTAGATAAAACAATTTAAAATTATCAGATAATTTATATAGTAACTACCACTTAGGTAAGAGATTTTCAGAGCTAAGTGTATTTACTCACTGATTGGCGTTTATTATTCCAGTCCAGTTTAATTAGATCACAGTAAAAAGTACAGAAGGTGCCAAGTAAGTTTATGATGTATGAAAATGATTACTAAAATAATTGCTGTTTTGTGAGAAATTTTAAACACAGAAATTGGAAAAAAAGTAATACTACATATAAATTTTCTGTGACAGTCACTAATAATACTGGTACTTGATTTCAGATTTTTATGAAGTATTATCTTAGTTTTGATTTGCATAATTCTTATATTTATAGCAGAATTAAAATATTTTAAAACTATTTAAGGAACTCTGTAGGATTGCAGTGTTTAAGACAATTTTCATTATTCAGCATATAGGCTCAAGCAGGGGAAAAATAAACATCATAAAAGTTACCAATTAGCCAACTCATTACTAGGACAATTTTCTTTTAAAATTTTACTTATTCATCTGGTTCACAATTCAAAAGGTACAAAGGACATATAGTGAAGTCACCTTCTTGTTTCTGTTTCCTTGTTACCCACTTTCCCTCCCCAGAGGCAAACATTGTTATTGGTTTTCTATATATCCTTCCAGATATATTTTATTCATATCTAAGCAGTTATATTTTTCCCTCTTTTACACAAATGGTAACATACTGTAAGAACTGTTTTGGGTTTTTTTCCTTAATTTTTTTTTAAACTGTACATCTTAGAGAACCTTCCACAACAGTATACAATGTGCTACCTTTTGTGGCTATGCAG